CTAATTGCGCTCGCGTACGCTTGAACAGCATCGAATCCTGCAGCTCGGTGATCCACGAAGTCAAGAGACCGCTGGTACCGGCCACGAAAACCATTTTGGAAATCCTGAAAGACGATGGAAACTACTCGCATCTTTTATCCATAATTAACGGAACCGAAATCGAGGAAATTCTTTCGGACACCAACAGATCCATCACATTGGTGGCACCTGACGATAGCGCTTTCGAAAGCATCGCCAAAGCGGATATGACCACTTTGTTGGAAGATCAACAGAAGGCTGTTCAAATTATGAAAGATCACATTTTGACTGGTACATTTAATTTAAAAAAATATTAATCACAACAATTGCACTAATGACGCTTTGTTTTTACAGAGGTTCTTTGCTGTGACGGAATCGGTTTCCCGCATTTAGGATTCAATTCGTTCGTGCCGACTTTGGGTTCATCTCAGCAGAAGATCAGCAACAACGGAAACCATATTCGCATCGGCAGCAGAGGTTTCGTGAAGAAATGCGATGATCTGGCTGTGAACGGCGTGGTGCAGACCATCAATGCCGTTTTGTATCCGCAACGTTACTCGCACGCAACGTTGGGATCCTACTTCTTTAACTTATAAATTAAGAACGAATTTTAACGAGAACTGAATCAATATTAATTAAGTGTTAAATTATATAAGCAAGGCTCAGTGAATCTTGCGTAATCGATTGTGTTTATTATATTTATATAACTCGTACCGAAGGTGCTGACAAATCCGAATAACATAATAAAAATACATAAAAATAATTCGGTTTTTGATTGACTTTCTGTTTTTCCTTCAGATTCTTTATCCTTTGCCAATTCCGTTCTTGTAGCTTGATACATCTGTTGCAGCTGTACATCCTTTTTTAAATCTCTCTTCATTGCAGTTATCTTTAAATAAATTAGAGGAGGTATAATGAATACCAGAGGTCCCACCAATGTTCCCCCAATCAAAGACATGGCTATGTCCAATCTAGGAACTGCTTCCGCCAAAAATATTGCTAACAAACATAGGGAAGTCCTCAACAAACAACGGCGATGGTTAAAATCTATGTGTAAATACCAATTAAAACCGATTAAGAACAATCTATAAATTTACCTCTAGCAATTCCCAAACAATCTTCCATATGTTGATACAAAGCATTGTTGCTTACCGCCGACGTTAGACAAAGTTGAATGGCCACAAGTAACGCTGCAACATGTAAGAATATTGATGAAGGCAGTGTTCCTAATAAACTTCTTTGCGTGGAATTTCCATAACGAAAAGCGCAGCTAATAACAGTCAATGAAAACATTCCGACTGAAACTAAAAAAAATCTCCAATAAAAAAAGCATCAATTAACACTTAAATCACACAAACTTCCAAATCCTAAAATCACTGCTGAAGTAATCTTCGATTTATTCTTCATGTCCAGTTGTATCGTGAGAATCGATGGATGAATATCGAATTGAAAAGCTAAAATCCCATACGCTGCGATGATACGTTTAAATGAAATTGTTTCATCCATTGTTGCTTGATCAGTTTTGGGCTGTTTTCCATCGAAATCGAATAAAATGCAACCCAAAACTAATAAGAATACTGCTGTCACCATGCATACTGATATAGTGCATATTAATCTGCGATTATAAATTTTAATTTACAATTTAATAGGTGTAAGAGTATTTACTTCATATCTTTAGGACTTCCCATCCATAGCAACGGGCACAATATTAGACCGAGGATGATAATCCAATAGCAAGAGGATAAATCAAACGAATTTTCTGATAATCTTAGCCCCAACAATTGCAGATTCTGCGATGCTGAAAAAAAATCTCAATAAAAACTTCTATCATTTGTAATTTTTTATAAGCACTTACCAACTATCAAATTAGGAATTCCGCCACCGAAGATTGTTATATCTACCAGAAACGTAACAAATTTTCTAAAGCTAGGTCCAAAAGCCAAATCGGCTAAAGCGGAATACGGGTAGCGATTTTTACTATGAATCTCCGGATCTATTCGTTCCGCAATTAACCAGCATTTTCCCAGTAAAATTGCGGTGTAAATTTGCATACTGCAAATTGAGATGACCACAGCAATACCATAATATCCTAAAACAAATGAATTTCATATATTTATTTTCCTAGCTGCTTTAATTAATTTACTTACCGCAATCAATAATGCTCTTCGGTAATGAAATTATTGGAAACACGCCAAACACATCGACGATGCAAACAGCAGCCAAAACCACTGATAATCCTTTTGTAAAATTTCGAGGATTTGGCGATTGAGCCAGTAACAATGTTCGTTCAGTTATCATATTTAACGTTGCATATACTTTATTGGGAATTGAAACTGTCGCAATAAGCAAGAGCATACGCTTGGATACTAAAGCAATATATATTTGCTTGGCTTCAATTTCCAATACACTATCGAATTTCACGCGAAGTAGACTGAACCAAATCATGTTGTACAAAATAAGTTATACAATATTTACTATTATATATTTGCATCTGAGAGAGCAAAAATAAAAAAGACTTCAATTAACACCACATATATATTTATTTGGATATTGTGTTTCATCATAATTTTTGATCAACTACAAATGGGATTAGTACGAGGTTCGATTTGAAGCCGAATTATCTTAAATTAGGAAGACACTCATTTCATAATAATTGCACATTGAAATCAACAGTTAATATGCAAAAAACAACAAATACTTAGGTAGCATAACATCATTCTTATATCTTTCATTTAAACTTATAATAGACATTCAACAATTGACATCTTATATACATCTAAACACTTTTTTTTTCTTTCCATTTAATCTCCGATCATCACAATTACCACACTCAATATATTATTTTTTTCATTTTAATATAGTATTGTCATTTCATCAAGTCTGCGTTACTTCCTATACGAGAAAACAAAAATACAAAGCAGCAGCCGATCGTCTCGTTGTACGTACAGTATTCTGACTAGAGAATGTTCTAAAAATTAATGCGCAAGAAACGTGCTCGTATGAAAAAATAGACAACATCGATTTTACAATTTCTAAGTTTCTCCTTCTTTTAACGTTCAGTTTTGTTACCTAACACACATATTCACCTAGAAAAGTAATTCGATAATACAGGAATTCTATTGTCGAAAATAAAAATTTTATTAAAAAAAATTGTAATCGAAAGAAATAAAATGTACAAATAATAAGAACATAAGTCGTTAAAATCAGAATGTAATAAATAAAGAGCAAGCGGTATTTCCAAATGAAAAATAAAATATATATACGTCTAAAATTTTAACAAAGTCATAACAATATCTATCACAAGAACGAAACAAAAAAAAACTGAATTCAAATTATAAAAATTTCCAATTTGAATTGAAACATTTTATAATACATAAAATTCACACTATGTAAAATAATTAATATAATATCTGTTATATATATTATCTAATAAAATATAAGATAATTAATGAAATGTTCTGAAGGCAGTATACAACTGTTTGTTTTGTTAGGCTTAAAATAAATAATAACAAAAATTATTACTTAATTAATTGCTTTCGCTAAAGGGGCGTTTTTTTTTTCTTCGTAATTTTGATTATATTCTTTTTCATTTTTATATATATAAATCTGAGAGGGGTAAACGTTTGTGTACATTCAGTTGGAATATTTCATTGATTCACACCTTCATTTTATTGTAGCCTAAGAGGTATTCGGCCACGCCTAAGTAATATACTGTTTGTGCGATTCCGAAGAGCGGAGCGATCACGATCATACGGCAGGCTCCACCCTTGAAGAAGGCTTTAGGTCCTTCATACTTCAGCGTTTTCCTGAAAAATAAAAGACATGGATTTATTGTTGCAACTAGAAAAGATTAGAGTGTGTCTGGAACTCACATGGCGCAATCCATAATTCCGGTGTACGTCCTTTCACCTTCTGCCTTTGTAAGTGCTTGCAAACGAGTTTTCACCACATCGAATGGGTTGACGAAAAGGGCTGCTGTCGATCCCGCCACGCATCCCGACAAAAATGAGCACCAGAATACAGCCTCACCTACACAAAATTGTAACATTTAATAACAAATAAGATTATACTTTATGTGTATAATTCGTAGCGTATATGTATAATTCGTGTCATGTTGTGTGAAATTTAAAATCGCATTTGAAATTCTTAAACAAAATAATAATTAATTATGTAAGAATATAATTATTATAATAAATATTGCGACGTAATATAATATTTGCATTGAAAAAATCGATAAATTGTTATGTAATGTTATAAATGCTCCATTGTACCTTGTTACACAAGTTTTATTTATTTTATTCGATTTTATTATCGGAGAAAAACACGATAAAGTTATTTTTTATAGCAAACGTTTACAGCTCTGCTTTTCGATTGACGTATAGTTGCAATTTAAGTTATTTTAAAGAAATGTTATATAGTTTACCTGATCCATCGTCCTTTCTAGGTCCTAAGTCATTTAGAGTAGCGAAAAGTGGGAAATAGATAACCGAGAAACTGACATCCCTCAGCATCGTCGCAGCAGTGCCTTTATATAATCCAAGAATTCCGTGTTTCTTCAGCAATTCCATTGTCAATTTCGTAGCGGAAGTCTTCGGTACGGTTTTGCCGACTTAACAATAAAAAAACTGTTAAGTCGAGTCAATAATAAGTGATTAGTAGATACGTACCAGCTTTGGCTGCAGCGGCAACGCGACCTGCGTCTTGCATTTGAATTTTCAGCAATTCCATAGGGGTTGTGACAACAATCTGGCAAAGACCGGCCAAACCACCGGCAGCCATTTGTCGAAACACAGGAAGTGCTCTGCAAACAATATCTTAATAGTTAGTTTATTAATTATTACCAAAGACGAAAACTTACGCATCTTTGGTTCTTAAATGGTATCTGAAGAAGTCGTTTGCAGCCAATTTTATGGCCTTTTCAGGTGTAATCAGTAAAATGTTCACGGCCGATCCTCGGTACATTCCAAAATATCCCTCCGCTTTGTAGGTTTTCTTGAAACAATCCAACCTAAGGCAAACACATTTTATTTCTACACTAACTATACGAACGAACGATAAGTATAAAAATAAATATTTCCATTAGAAATCTACATTGCACGGTTAATGAATCGAGTCAATGGAATTATAGAAACAGACGTAAATTACAAGATTAAGTAACATTTTCTAATTAATAATAAACTAAATTAATTAAATACCATATTTGAAATAATCATATGAGAATTCTTCAGTATTACTAACTGTTTAATGAAATATTAATATTGCCCCCTTGAGACATAGATGTAATTATTATATGCACAGAAATACGCTATTATTTATTAGTTAAAAGTATGTACAACGATAGTTTATAAATATTTTGCATACATTGCATATTTTCTTTTTTTCTACGAAGGTTAAGTTTCAAATGTAAAGTATTTTAAATATAGTCTGCATTTGCGTGCTGTATAAATTTACTTCTTGCTAAATATAAATATATTTCCGGTATTTTCTTGAAAAATAAAATAATAATATGACTCAGTGGATATATATCATTGGAATCAAATGAAATTGACGATCAATCCATAAAGTATACCTCTGCGACATAAATTGAGACAAAACAAGTAAATATTGGTATTTATATATGACGAGATGAAAGATATAAATGTGCGTGTGTCAATTGGATCTAAACAATTCCAGACAGCAATGAAAGTATGCCTATTGGCCTCGTTCCAATAATTGCGGAGATTCGTCGAATGGCCAGGAAGCGCGTGTTTCTGTGACACGTTAGAATTTACGTAACAACGGGTCAGATCAATTCAACAGGTCTCGAGAAGAGAAGAGTCATGATGGAAGGCAAAAATAAATTCTTAAAAAAAAAACCGAAATTCACTCACAGTTGTTGTTAGGCGTTTAAATATAGTGCAAAGTCGTGGAGGCATAACGAACTGAGCCGTTGGCTCCACGTGACAATGGATTAAATTTAAATGAAGATATTCAGCTTTTTGCCAAAATACCGGCTTTCTTTGGGAATACATATTTTTAGAAGAGAAGCACTTACATAGATTTGTACATTCGTTCGCCATTTGGTCCGATCTGCTGATTCTGAAGCCTGGTTTTGACCAAATCCAGTGGGAACACGCAGGAGACACCGATGATACCTGCGATTCCGCCATTGACAATCTTTGGAATCAAACTGAAAACAATACATCATATTTTTATGTATCTTTTAACAAGCACAACTTGTAGCAAACAGATTAATCATATATACAAAACAGTATTCCATCAATTAGAAACATGTACAAACAAATCCTCAGCACGCTACTGTATCGATTACACAATCAACGCATGCAAAGATCCTTAAAAAAAACGTAACAAAATATTAAATTCTATAAATTTCTTTAAGTGTTACAAACACAATAATCAAATGTTGAACAGTATGCAATATATACATATGAATGAGTAAATAAAAGTACTTACGAAAATTGATTTTTCGCCGAGTCAGTCATTGGTGTGTGAAGGTGATATCAATCTGCAACCAATAAATTTGCCTTACAATGAATTACTATCAATTAAATAATGGAATGACAAAAAAAAATGAGCGCTGAATATTCCATTTACCAGTTAATAAAGACCGTACGCTCTTTATGTAGTGTATCCACTGAGCAACTGAATTTGCTCCCAACGTCCTTGGCAATATACTACAGCGAGTATAGCAACAATTTTATCAACGGATAACATTTCATATTGTATGCACTGATCGTAATCATAAAGATTGAGGGCTTTAAATCAAAAATACTCGAAAATATAATCTGTATATTAGGCATATCCTAGCGAGGGATTTAAAAATCTTCTGAGAGGTACAAATTGTACTGATTCAATAAACCCAGTATTTTCATCTTTGAATTAACAATGATTCGTAACTCAACTTAGAACTAATTAAATGTTAACACCATTCTCATTATAATAAAATTAAGTAACAGATATAAAAAAAAACTTTTAAAACTTATCCGATTTGAATGTATTGTTATGAAAGCACTGCTTCCATATCTTGAAAAACAACTTAATGATTCAATAGAAGCAACCCCTCCGATCCGGGGAACGAAGAAAATCAATAGTACTTTTTGTAAACGAAACAGATACAAAAATATGCAGAAATTTAAATAATGCTTCCGTTATAATGATTTTACTGTGATTCTAGACTTAACCTTGAATCCCACCGCCCACAACTATATAAAAAGCTTATTTCAGATCTTACTTGCTACTAATTCCAACTGGATATTCTCGCTACAAATAACTGAAATTTGTATTTTCCGCGAGAGTGATTCGCTCATATTTGATGCTAATGATTAACAAATATGAGCAATAATTGCTTTTGTCAACTTGACAATATCCATGTCAAAATCAATTAAACGCATATTACATTCGCATCGATCTTAATACAAGTTAAATGTGTACAGGTAAAAATAGAAAGTTGCTTCTTTTTTAAATGATGAACGAAATTACGGTTTCATTATTTAATTATTGTAATTCCAATAACGAACTTTTAATATTTCACTAAATATATAAGATTCCTTTTACATTACTGATGAATTCCAGCAAAATAAGATCGTAAAATAACACGTAAAATTCTTCCAACAAAGCTCCATAAAAGTAAAAACGACAATTATATTAATTATATTTAAATAAAAAAAAGATCTTCATTCAATCATCATAAAACTGTATATAAATAAGATTATAAAAATATTACGCGTTTGAATTTGGGATAAACATGAATATTTCTAGCGTGTTATTATTTACAAAATAAAAGCCATCATTTAAATGCAATTCTAAAAAAAATTGGAGCAGAAGCATTTCATGTTACGTTGTTTTGTTGACAAAAAAAATCTTGGCTTCGCAGCATTGGCGCGATACGAAAACTCTGATTTATATTGTAAAGCATGTTTTTTTGCACGCACTTAACTATAAATAACAACATTAGAAATGCGCCGTTTGTTGTTTTGAAATTTCCTGAGCTGGATAAACACAATGCACTTTTTAAACTGAATTCTCTTTAAAGATGTTTTTGGTCAAAGTCTAAATAATGTTGTACGATCGTGCGGAAAACCCAACATCAGGTCAACGTTTCATATTTATAATAAGTAAGAAATTTAAATTGGATAATTTAGTTTCTTAATATTTCGGGAGTTCACCTTTATATTGTACATATCAGTAGTTCAAACAGTTTAACTATAAGTACCTTAGTGGATGATAACATATCGTGGCGAGATTATTTAAGTATAAACATGAGTGTGAATATTTTAAGGAAAATTTTTCTAGCGTTGCAGATTTCTGAGGTCCATCGATCCGGGAAGAAAGAGCAATTGGCAGAGGAAGGTCAATTTACTTTGATAGAGATTAGATGTTGATCAGTTGCTATTTATAACTATATATTCTGGAAATTATCTTATCACGAGTAACGCTCTTCTAAGTAGTCTACAAAATCTAAAATTGTAATCATAGATTTGAATATAAAAAGATATGAAAAATGGTAATCATTTAAATAAATTACCAGCAGACTGGGAGAACGTTTGCAATTCATAAAGGACATGAATGCATAATATGGATTATCTAACTACATCAATGCTCACGAAACCGGCTTTAAAATCAATGAACTTCATTTTTTTGTTGCATCTCTTTCAAGGATAACCGGCAACATTTATGAGCTTCATAGTTTTAATACTCTACCTGCATTTTAATTACGTTATTTGGCAAGTTCCAAATTATCGATTTCTCAGGCGAAATATGATTTTGCCCTAAAGGAACTTACCTGGCAAATTCTTTGATATGTGAAGAATACTGAGAGGGTTTTTTTTGGAGTATTGTTCGGTAGGTCGTTCAAGCTACCGGCCAATTACTATTTCCTAATAATTGATACTTTTTGCGGACTTTCAATGACAAATTTCCCCGGGAGAAATGGGGCTTCGAACGTAAAGCAACGAGGTACGAACACCGACTGACTTTTTCCGTGGTATTGCTGCCTCAGCAGCTGATCGAAATGGGTAAAGTCGTGGCTACTTGGGTTTAGCTATCGATTCACAGAATGCGCCAGTTATTGCTGGCCCCACGAACCGACGCCCAAATTTATTTAGGTCAAAAATATTCTTCCCATTCATCAATTTACACGCATATACTTATACAATTTTACACACAATTCAATAAAAATTTGCATTTCCTTTGTGATGGCATTTAGAACGTGCTAACACTTACCATATGTCACATAAACATTTCATTTTTAAGTGCTACTGTTACATTTTTTTAAATACCTAATCAACTTATAAATTACTGTAATTAAATGCAATTGGACAAGGTTACATCAAAATAATGTTTCTTTAAATAATATTTAAGCAATTATTCACATTATATATCTTCATACTAACAAACTTATTAAATTATAAACATTATGTTAAAGCAAAATGAGTTATTTATGAATGAACGAATGAAATAAATATTTATAAATTTTTCTTAAATTTTATTAATATTGATTATTTTATCATGATTTTGTTATTGAACAACTGATTTAGTTTTATTGTTAACTATAAATATATTGTATTATTTCTATAAAATATAATTAAAGAAAGAATGACCATAAACCGTTAATAATGTTAATCCATTCGATTAATTAGCAGATTATTATCAAAACTATCTTAATATTTCCTGTTCAAAGGTCTTCATATTATCTTACTGTTAGCATTTTTCATTATAAATCTAGCTACCATTTTATTTTTAAATAACTGACTTTGTTAAAATATTATGTGTTTAACTCTAAAATCTATTTTAATTAATCTAAAATGCAAATATTTTTTTTTGTAAATTTTTGTCCATTTTGTGTCCTTTCAGAATTTGCATTAAAAATGGATAATTTGATCAAAAATAACAAAATAATATGGACTCTATTTAATATAAACTTATTTTCTCTCTTTACTTGTTGTTCTCTCTGTATAGTTATTTTTATGCATTTCAGAAAACTAATGGAAAAATAACATTTTTTATTTATTACAAATGTGGCATGAATATGTATAATATCTTATAAAATCATGTAGTTAATATTGATTATAAGGAGATTTATGATTGTTTATTAGTAAATAATGGTTTATTTTACATGTTTGTATTCATATCCTAGAAGCATTTCTGCTACTCCCATGTAGTATACACTCTGAGCGATGCCAAATAGTGGAGCGACAACAATCATTCTGCAGGCGCCGCCTTTGAAAAACGCAGCTAACCCTTCGTACTTAAGAATTTGGCTTCAATCATAAAAATAGATTAAAATCAACAGTGAAAGATTCATTCATGAGAGCTACTACAGTATGGATTACCTAGCACAATCAAACATCCCCGAACACTTTCGTTCGCCTTCGGCCTTGGTTAGAGCTTGCACTCGAGTCTTGACAACATCCACAGGGGTAACAGTTAGAGCAGCAGTAGAACCACCGCCGCATCCAGACACAAACGACCACCAAAACACAGCGTCACCTTGTCGATAAAAAAATTGTGAGCGCAAATTTTATGGTAAACGATTTTTAAAATTTACCACTTCCATCACTCCTCCTCGGTCCCATCTCGTTCAAAGTGGCGAACAGCGGGAAATAAATAATCGAAAAGAGAACATCTCTCAACAACGTGGGGGACAATCCCTTGTACAGCGAAAAGAAACCCCTCTCTCTGATCATGTCCAAAGTCAGCTGAGTGGCAGACTTCCTTACTACAGTCTTTCCGGCTATAAAGTTTTGGTAGAATCATAACATCTCATTTTATCAATGTTACCTAGCTTTGCAGCTGCCGCAACTCTTCCAGCATCTTGCATCTGGATTTTCAGCAATTCCATTGGAGTTGTAATGACTATTTGGCAAATACCTGCCATCGCACCTGCAGCCATTTGTCTCGTGACTGGTAAACGTCTACATTTTTTTCATAACATAATAGTCATTAAAACATTACATTTCACTTACGGATCACCAGTTCTGAAATGGTATCTGAAGAAGTCGTTCGCTGCTAATTTTATAGCCTTTTCGGGCGTCACCAATAAAATATTGACCGATGCTCCTCGATACATACCAAAGTATCCTTCGGCTCGGTAAGTCTTCTTGAAGCAATCAAACCTAACATTAACTGTTTATAAGTTTTTGAATGTTCATTACTTATTTAATTCTGTTTACATAGAGCTGTACATTTTCTCTCCATTTGGGCCGATTTGTTGATTTTGTAGTCGAGTCTTGACCAAATCTAGGGGAAACACGCACGAAACTCCGATGATTCCTGCGATTCCTCCATTCACAACTTTTGGTATTACCCTTTAAGCAAACGTAACGCACTACAAATCTTTAATAATTTATTTACAACTTACGAAAAATCTCCCATAACTTCTGATTTGTCTATATATAATATCAAATATTAATACCAAAACGTCAAAATGATTGAAACATTACCAAATGACACTCATTTTAGGCATACAATTTTTCACATTATTTATTAGTATATGTATTTGCAACTACATTGATAATTTATATTAACTTGAAAATGAAGTTAATAAAAAAAATCTAATAACTAATATATCCTAATTCCTATTTTAATATCTATATTTTGATGTATTAGAATTAAAATGTTACAGTAAATTTATATAAACTTGACCCTATTCATTAAAATTGTAAGAAGTAGTTTCAATTGAGTAATGATATGCTGACAAAATTGCTCCTTGTTAGATTTACGTAACTAAGGATGTGATGCGATATCAAAATCAGATTGGACAATTGTATATTTAAGTTGTAAATGATTTATCACGACAAGGACAAGGTCTATATAATTTGATGATAATAATAGTGTATATCTTTTATAACTTATTTATTTTATTTGTTGAAAACTTCTAAAAGTTTAAAATATAAGTTGAAAGGATTTTTGTCTCTGGTAAAATAAATTTTATAAATTTTGCTGAATAATAAATTTATTTATTAAAACTAAACAAAACATTTTAATTACAGTAAAACTAATACAAATATATTTTTTTAACAAATTCTATTTTAATAGTTACACATGCAATAAAGAGTTATTGACATCAGTCTTTTAGTCCTTTATTCTAAAACACAAATTACTTTATACTTGATTGGTATTAGGAAGTTGATTATGCGCTGTACTAATTGAGCATTGGTCGTTTTCCTGAAATTAATTAACGTTAATAACATACAGAAATAATATTGCAAAACTATTACTTTTTCATACGCAAAAATAATTTCGTCGGAAGACGGTTGATTCGGGTATTTCCGAGGTTTAATTAATTTCCTCACGCACGGCGCAAACAGATCCATATCCAAATCGTGCGGATCCAAAGGTTTGGTTAAAAATGTTACGATCAGAGCAACAACGATGGAAATTAAGCAACCCATGAGCGTGTACCACAAGTAGGACATTCGATATAACACGAAAATCTCACTAAAATGTGAATTGTTTAATATGTTGCATATGTTTACAGTAAACATTTAAATACTTTGTGTGTAAATCATCGCTGTTGTTTGTTGTGGGGTGCAGTTTTAAACTCAAAGCTGGCGACAATTTCGGTGTAAAAGTATAATGGCAACCCTCGGTGGTAACTGGTTTTTCTGCGAACAATAAATCGCCAGAAGCTATCGAAGCTTGAGCACTTAAACAGATCCAGGCCATTAAACCTAACCCTGTAATACCTCCAGTTAGGGCAGCCTAAATGAATATGGGCAAACATTAATATAATATACATTCGCATTTAAGTAAATAAATTACCTTCCCATTGATCCAAGGCAATAACATCCCCATTGTAAATAAACTCAGACACGGCCCTGCCGATATAGCGCTAATACTAGCAGTCATCTACAACAATTACATATAGCTTGCACATTACAATTTACCCACTATTCTGTTAGTAATACCTGCAAAACGGGTCCTAGTCTTTCAACTATGAAAACTAGGATCACGCAAATCACGCCAAATGTAATGACGCTCATTCTCATTATGATCTGCTTATGCTTCTCGGCGATTTCGCCATGTGATTTCATGCAGTATCCACCAAAATCTTCTAAAATAACTGCGGCCATCGAATTCAGACCCGTCGATAGAGAACTCAAAGCGGCGCTGAAAATACCTGCTATAAATAAGCCAGGTAATCCAGGATAGTCACCGAGTACTTCCATAACAAGAAGCGGAAGAAGTTGATCTTTCTCTCTAGCCAACTGTAATATTAATTTACAGAATTTTCAATAAATTTGATTTGTTTGTAGTAATAACAATTCTGATTGATACCTTTGTAGTCAGCGGATCGCATTTGTAAAATGTTGCGTATATAACCATTCCGCTGTAAGCTCCTAAACCAATGAAGACGAAGAGGCCGAAAACAAATAACCAAAGAGATCTGAAAGTTAAAATTAACATTAAAATATTACAATTTCGATTTGTTACTAAGATCACCTGTTCACATGTTTAATGTTGGTCAAAGCTAAATAACGTTGAAGCATGTTTTGGTTGACTATACATGATTGGATCAGATAGAAGGAACCTCCAACAACTAACGTCCAAAACGTGTGTCTTGTAAGTGGATTCAAATCGAAACTGCAATATGTAAATTCAATTTCTGTATAAAACGCAATTTAATTACACAAATTTATTACTTGGGCATTTCAATCCTGTCGCTGTTCCAGTTCCTCTTCCAAACATTTTCAAATCCTCCAACGTCTATTGTACCTTTGACAATTACCAGTATCATGGCACCTACCATAATCAATGTTTGAACCACATCTGTCCAAACTACAGCTTTCAATCCTCCCTGATTAAATTCATTTAGTTAAGAAATTAATAAGTTTTGAAAAATAGAAAGACAAGATTATATGTATATTTAAATAAAATTTTACATACTATAGTTGTATAAAATATGCATGTAATGCAAACAGCAGGTGTTATGAGATGTACGTTAACGCCAGTAACTGTAACAAATTCCAATAAATGTAATATTTCTCAATGTAAATTAATGTTATCTTTATACCTTGATTAAAAGCTAAAGCGGGAACATAAATGACTACAGGCAACCAAACGATCTGCAACGAAACAAGTACAAAATTATTATGCAACCGTAATGTACCTAAAAGAATTAAAAATGAGTTTACTCACCAATCCTATTATGAATAAAACCGAACCAAATAATCGCACTCGTTTATCGAATCTCCTTTCCAAATACTGAAATTGAACAATGCATAAAATATGTTTTATTTTCGATCAACAATCGATATTTATTATTTGTATTTTACCTCGTACGTTGAAGTTATTTGCAGATTATGAAACACCGGCAGATATATATTTTGGGCAATAATTGCCATTATGATAATTGCGAAACCGATGTAAATGTATTGGATCCCATACACATAAATCTCCGTTGGTATACCGAGCAATGAAATTCCACTTATGTAGCTGTAATTAAATTTATTATTTATTGCGTTTTACGTTTTACTGAATACTAACTTTGAAAGTTTATTTGAAACATATACATTTCAGCTTAGGAAATTACATATTAAAAGAAATAAAGAATTTGTATTAGTTATATCATAACTATGTAAAATGAGTCATTTATTATTTGATAAACAATCGGTTGATGAAATCATCAAAAGTTTTATCAAGATGTAATAATTAAATTGATTTTAATAAGATCATTTGTAGATAAATATTGGACGACAAATTAAGCATAAATGAGTACTTAAATTTAGAAAAACAGCACTTTTCGAATTAACATAAAGGCACAATTTTGTTGTTGATTTTGTCATGGGTTATTTTAATATAGATAGTACAGAAAGTTTAATCTAAATCCACTACGATTTAAGACCAATTGTGTTGTGTTTTGTATGTAATTGTATAATTTACCTTGCGATTAGTGACAACGAGATTGGGAACGCATTCATTTTTCGACTTCCGACCAAATATTCCTGAGTATTGCATTTTCGTCCTATTATAGCGAAGTAGATGCCAATAACGATGCAAATCGAGAGCATCGTCGCGAAAACCGCGTAATCACACAAACCGAACTTCTGCATTGCCGTGCTGATATCGGCAACGCCAACCCCCAAAACGACCTTCTCACCATACTCGCTTCCCGTTATTATCTCCAACACTTCTGCCATTCTGCAAGAAATCAAAGACGAAACTGAAGATTATGCACTTATAATGAGAATTGCTGCATTCATCTTACGTGCGTATCTACAAGACCGTGTAATTAATCCGGAAAATGTAGGCTGTGAATTGGTCGGATGCAATGAAACTTGCACGGATCTTCTTCAAGAACTTTTTAACCTTTCTCATATTATGTCCGCATGTGGTAATAGCCGAATCGTCTTTGAGCAAACTGTGACACTCGTGCACACGGTTTCGCTCAATTCATTGCTGCTGCTGGCCATTGCGGAGGCGGATATCGCGGTTCAACCAATTTAAAACTTAATATAAATCGACGACAAAATTATGCACTAGCCGAGTATTATTATTCACTTTGGCCCCAGCACCTAAAATACATGCACACTAACAACAAGATTGCCTTTTTGATTATCCACACGTTGGATAACAAACGCAATTGATTGTTACATATTTTTTAAATTGATGAATTTGTTCTCTCATTGTTGGACAATACTATACTTTTCTTAAAAGTAATTTCAATAATAAATAAATTAATATAGAAATTATTGGAATTATCAATATCTAAAATTAATTTAACTATATCATCAATATTTTATTATAATGATAATACAAAAATGAATAGAAAATCAAATTTAATATTCAACAATCATTAATAATAGAAAAAATACGTCTAGTTTGTTTAGGACAAATCTATTTTTCAAATATATAATTGTTTCACTATCGTCGCACTTTGTGTTATAGTTAAATTTTAAATTGTTGACAAGTTAATTGGAAATATTATTTATCGAGTATAGTTTTTCGAGATAAACACAAAAATTTCGAGAAATGGATTGTTTTTATATGTTTTTCTTAAATAAGTTGTTTTTTAGTAAAATTCTAAAGAAAAATGTTTAAAAGCGGAGGTATGTGTATATTTATTTTCGCAGTTTTTTTTTCGATTATAAATCTGGATACTTATAGGAATACTTTCTAAGTAACTTGTCAAGTATCGCGTACTTTGTATGAGTTGTAAGAAATGTAGTTGTCAAAATTTAGTAGAAAATGTTATTTTGTATTTTATTAAGTTACAATTACACTATATACAAACAAAATACAATATATAAATAAATGAATGAATAAGTTAGGTTCATGCACTGTTCCTGTATTTATCGTAGGCATCCAATAAATAGGCGACGGTGGCGAACAATCCGAAAGACTGAAACAAACAAAAAATATTAATATTGGTTCTAAAGGTTAAAACAATATTAAAAACATACTCCTCCTGCGATGTAACCACCTGCTCTCACATCAATTACTAAAGCTGCAGTGATTAAGTAGAAGACGGCCCAGATGATGCAGAAGAAAAATTCGACCCTGTTCCACGGTATTGGGATCTTTTCATGCAGATCCAGCATGAAGAGAACGAGCATAATTCCGGTGATCAAGAATCCACCGACGGATGCAACCAGAAAAGCATCTCCTCTTGGACTAACTCCCGTCGCCGCCACCGACACGAAACCAATGAAGTTTAATACCTTAAACAAACAGAGAACATCAGCATTTCGGATGAAAAGTACATCTAAACCTTGTCGCTCTATATACGGCATTTCGCTATAACAGTTTTTTTTAATTATGACACTTTTTCGATTTACGGCTCAAAATATTTTGTAAAAAAATGTAAATAAATGTTTATATCAAAATAATTGATTCGTTATACGGAATTTCGCTTTACGGACAATTTTTCCGAAACATATCTAGGCTGTAAAGCTAGGTGTATTATAATTTATTTTGTAATTTAAAAAATCAATTATTTTTGATATATTTATCGTTTAATTTTGATTTATTAATTAATAATTAAATCAAAAGATTAATCGATTTGTACTTACCACTTCGACGGCTTTCAGAATCCCCGGTGTGGTTTTAATGTAGTCAATAGCCATTTTCAGATGTACGCGTCTAAACTACCTTAAAGTTATATAACAAATGAGTTGTTGTTGGGTGTTCACCGAAAAATTGTGTGCGTAACCTCGTGAACAGAACTGGCGCATGCCACAATTTGCTATCTTATCAAAGATAAATACAGTATTTTTGTTACTGAGAAACACTGAGCGGTAATACTATTAACATACTAAAAGTTATCTGATGTCCACACCTTAGATACGGCGCCGTGACTAATCGACTTATCTATTATTTTTCTCGTGTCACCAATTTGTATATTCATTAACGCATTATCTCATTTGTTGTCTATGAGAATTGAAACCGCAGCTACTGTAAAACTGATCGATTATTTTGTTCAATTGGAAAATGTTTTATACTAAATAGAAATCTAGTGCGCGTACTTTAATATACTGATGAAGAAAGTCACAGCAAGTCGAAATTGGATGATGGTTTAACAAACATTGCATTCCTTATACAGCAATTACAGGATACTGATTTGAATGTTAAGTGGACATTTCTTATTGAACTATATTACCTACGGCATCAAAACAATATACTAATTTCATTACATTCTAATAACTATTATTAAGAAAATTTTGTTTACTATTCATTATTATTATAATATTAGATATTTTTAGGCAAATAAATAATTAATCATTCAATGTTCTTATCAAAAGCAATACTTCTTTAAAGGGTAAATTGATTTGAATATAACTACAGTGAAACCTCGCTCAACGAGCAAAATTAATTGTAATAAAAATGACTCGCTTAACGAGTGACAATGAGAAGAGAAGTCCTAGATTGCGCGCCTGCTACATCATTTTTAAAACTTGTGCATACAAATTATGTGTATTTTTGAATATATTAACCTTCAATTTTCTTTTTCATCTTTGTTTAAAGCGGATTATACTTTGCAAATATAATTTGTGTTTGCTGTATTGTGTCCAACCATTATAATAATATATAAACACACTATGTATGCTAATAAACAAATATAAGTATAAAGAGACCTCCACCAAGTTCCCGAATTGATACAAGCAATATAAACAAATATAAACTCACATCACCGTCTGTGAATTGGAAAACAGTTCCTAGGGTTAGTGGTCATTCTAGTTGCATCTTAGTATAGTTAATAATCACAAAATTTCCAAACTTGTGTTCAGACATGTTATTTGTGTTTGTTTTGTTGCAAAATTTAATAACACTTGCATGTTTCCGAATAAAAAGCCAAAGAATAAAAAGAACCATAGATATGAAAAGCAAAATCATTAAAAATCGAGACCAAATTATACTTTTTTTCCGGCAAGGAACGCATTATCGTAATTTATATTAGTTTATATAAGAAAACGTGTATTTCACTATACGAGTAAAAATCCGGAAATTTTGGAAAGGATTAAACTCGTTATCCGAGGTTCCACTGTATATACAATAACAATTTATTCAATTTTATGGAATTATTAAAAAAAAAACTGCCTTAAAATACTTTGGTATCTTATATTTAGTTTACATATACATTATTTATGATCTTATTTGCAAATTACTGCTTTGTTTGAAATTACTCCTTTTTAAAAGATTTTAATTTTAACTGCTAATAACTGGAAAACGATTGAATTAACAATTATATATATTTACTGTTTCAATTGTTTATCGTATTTAAATTTGTATATACTAAAATTTCACTGATTGCTTAAGTATTTAATAACTATGAAAAATAATAATAATAATTGTAAAAAAAATATAGTATATAAATTTGCAGATTCCAAAAAAATTTAAATACCTTTATTTACAACGATTGAATACAAATATAATTAAATAAATATTGGGAGATAAATTAAATATCTACAGTATTAAGTAATTTTATTAATCTCTATTAGTTTTTTGTTCATTTTGTCTTTATTATACACTTGTTTCGTGATTTCAATAATAATAATATTAATAATAGCAATATATTTAATAATATAATTTTTTTCATAATACTCATAATAGAGAACAAACAAAAAAAACAAGTCATCACAAATTTTATATTTATACTGTACATATAAATATTAAATTATATAATACACGCATCGCTATTAAACAATAATTTAACTAAACTTGAACAATATCTAAGAAAACATTCATTATATTTATAATACATATATAATTTATATATTTTTTTTTGAGTTAACATCGATTTTTAGAAAAAATCAATTAACATCGCATTGGCGTCAAGGAAATTATTACACTTTTGCATTTGAGCAAAAAACACTTAAGCTTAAATTTATTTATATATATATAATTTTTGTTTTGTTAAATTACAATTAATCTAAACGTATTATACAAAATTATAAGTAGACAACAATATGTGTCTCAATATTATCTCACTTTTAGTTTTTTTCTTCTCTTGTTAAATATTTAAGTTTCTCTCGTTCAATATTTATATAATATAATATAATTTTCTTACAATAAATAAATAATTTCTTTATTTTTTGTTTTCTTTAGTTTTTTTTTGTTAATTAATCTAAAAATCTATTTCATCTATTAAACTACATCTACGCCAGTTAAGTCCACGAAAATGTCAACATTTCAGAACTCGAATGGTCGCTACAACAAAAATTTATTAACACTGTAATATTTGAATGCATTACAATGGAATTAAATTTTCTTCAATTATCTAAAGGAAAAACAAACAAAAAGAAACGTCCACTAAATTTAACGCATCTAAAATTGCACTATTTTCGAAGCCAACGCGCACATACATATCTTATTTATTCAAAAATACGTCGCTAATCGAAATTGCAACCAACAATGGTTCAAGTACAAAATTTTCCCAAATTCAACAAATCAACAACTTATTTATATTTACAGAAAAGTGATATATTACAAAAATTTGTTAATTTACTTTTTTTTTATGTAAATATTTGTATAAAATAATACTCGGTATATCTTTCAAAGAAAACAAAAGAAATACTCCAGTCCTATCTATGCCGTGCCATAGATAATGGATATATAATGTTTTAGAGTAACACAACAAATATATATTAGATTTTGCTTGTTCACAAAATCAACATTGAATGTGTACTAGTTTTTTTTTAAGTAATTAATGACAATAATTAAATAAAAATGTGCTGTATTTAACGATGCACCCTGTATCCATATGTTCTGATTAACAGATAACTTGATCTGTTAGGTGACTTGAGAAAAACAGTGCAAGATTTGATGTTCTTGTGAGTTCCTTGAATTATATTCTCTTCTTTTTTTTGGTCAGTAACACTTATCTATAATATAGTAATAGTTATAATAATAATA